TTCTTGAGGTCCGCGGGCGTAAGTTACCTTCTGACTGAGAACTTTATAAAATGGATGGGGAATCTACAAGTCCGAAATTAGAAAACCTTTGCTTTGCGTGAGAACGTATGTATATGTGTGTCATTAATCTCGCTAGGATTTGCGCCCCCGTGGGCATGGGACAAGACATTGGACTATGAGCCGCCTTCCTTAGCGGAAATCTCTTTAGGGTAATTGCGTGGAGACTGCGCGCTGCTTTTTCTACTGCGGCTCACTTAACGAAGAACATCAGAATTTTCTAGTTAAAGTTTCAAAGTTTGCACTAAACAAAAAAGATAACTCTTGTTGAAAATATGAAAATTGTGTGTATTCCAAAATTGATATTTATTTAGGTACTTTTTAAATTTTATGTATTTTCTAAAATTGTTTCTTTTATATTTTTGCTTTTTTCAGGTATGCACCCCAGTTAAAAGGCTTCGGCTTATTGAATGGATCTATTGATAGCTACAAAAACAAATTCTAAAAAATCAACGGTAATTCTTGAAACTTGTACTTTATTATACTAAAATTGAGAGAACTACATATAAAACTGTATACTCAAAAAAATTCTAACGCTTCTGAGAAAAAAGGTTTAAATTTTTAAAAAACATGTATTTATTTTTTTTTTTAGTTTTGAATTTGTATAGGGTTTGTTAGAGCAGGAACTGTATTTTAATTGAAACTTCTTAAAAGTAAATAAATAAACACATATATACATATGTATGTAGGTATGTAAATAGGTTCGATTTCAGAAATTTTCAAGACGGTACTTAGGGAGGCTAAGCACAAAGTGTATACCAAATTTGGTCGAGATCGGTCAAGTAGTTTTTGAGGTACCCATATATTATATAAGTGGGCGGTGCCACACCCATTTTCCTAAAAATTTCTTGAAAAACCACTTTTTTGCTAAAGAGCGATTGTATATATCAATTCTGAATATATATTGATGAATTCCTTAGCCACACTCACTGCTCACAAAATCTGAAAGTCCGGTACATAAACANAAAACTGCGCCATCTCGGTCTGGTGAAGGGCGGCCAGCTACCGAGAAAACACTCTGAGGATAGTCTTAATTTTCCAAACAAATAAACGCAGGACCACATGTGTATCAGTCGCGTGTCTCATTCCCCTTTCCATCTGAGAAAAAATACTTGGTTGCAGGTGTCACTATTGTATCAACGGTTCTCATGACCTTTATTCATGAGATACCTGATGTACCAGATTTTAGGCAAGTTCCGTTTTGCCACGGAGTTCAATTTCTTTGCAATATCTGAAGAACTACGAACGGCTTCGAAGGTCTTTATAGTACCTGGCTGCCACTACCAACTCTTATTTATTGTCCGTCAAACTTCAGCTTCAGTTGCGATTTCAGTGTTGGAGTCTAAAGTCTTTATGGAAAGTGTTAACCGAGCTCTCCAAGAGAATGTGTGGGTCTAACTACTATCCCTGCTGAAGCAAAAACTCCCATTGTGTAATCTTCTGCTTCCAAGACGACTTCAATATTTGTTAAAATGTCGTGTAGAACTATTTCAAACGATTTTCCACTTTGTCCACTGACAACGCCTTACCTTGAATGTTGGAAACAGGAGGCATGGTTAATATTGATCTTTATTGATCGAATGGAGTTGCTCACTTGTACTTGCAACAACAACAATAAATAGTTTTTATGTATAAATACACTTATACTTGTTTATAAATAAGTAAATACATATATGATTTTCCACATGCCTTCGCATTGCATAAACCAAACAAAACTTAACCTCCATCCCTTTTTCAAAGCATAAATTTTTTTTCAGAGCTTCTACGTTTTTATTATTATGGTAACGATAAAAATCGAACATGCTGCTACGAGTATGAAATTAAAAAAAAAAAAAAAACAGAAGGTGAGTAAAAAACATAAAATGAAAGATAATATGTA